CACACACACACACACACACACACACACACACACACACAAACACAAACACATTCATACTCACAGCATTTTTTCTCTCCCTATAATTCCCAACCCTGGCCACACAGCCGCACTACATTTCTGAGCCGCTTATCTTCAAACACAGCGATTTCCCACCTCCAGAAGCAAGCAGGCGTTCGCTGTGATAATAAACGAAGAGGTATAGCATCCTCGTTTGAATAGTCTATACTCCTGCCAGAAAATAAAACCATCAGCACAGAATATCACGYTGTTACCTGTCGTTCATTTACACCAGCCGATCATCTAAACTAAAATGCCCCCMCTCTTCTCCGTTAAACTCATCAGACCCCTTTCTGAGAGGGCTTCATTCCAACTTGCTGACCTCTTTTGGACAGCCCAGCGGCATGCCAGTTCAGGCTCTTCCCACGGCCGTCAACAGGCCATATATTATCGAGGTAATTACCTAAGGAGAATAGATGCCTTTCTACCGCCTCGCGCGTTTACAACGTTCAGGCGCTGCCTGCTGCGTTGCTCCGTCTCCTCCACGCCATCCCTCACAGAACATGACCGTGAATTCGATAAAGGCACAACACAATGGCACATTTAGMAGCCAGCAGGCAAAGACGGGGAAAGCAGTGGAAGGTCAGCAGGGAGGGCCTACATGCCGGGGCTTTGAGCGATGTTGTTGCAGCTGGTGCACTAATGGCCATCTGCATTATGCTGCAAAAATAGACTCGACAACTGGTCTGTTTAGTATTTAGCGGACAGYGAATCGGCTTTCTAATTAGGTAAATGCTCTGTGTTTACGGCGTTGTCCTGTAATTGTGTGTGTCAACACAGCACAWAGCCAGGTGTTGAACAGCTGCGTCGCTAAAGCTTAAGGACATCACGTGCCAACTCGTACAATGTATAATTTGGTAAACACAGTCACTCACTATCGGACCAAAAGTTTGATGAAACATCACACTTTGCCCTGTAATTTTAAAAGCTCCAATGACAAGACGGCTAGCTAGGCCGCAAGTCAGCCCTTTTACAACTAAAATGTAAAGCATTGTCTCGGCTAGAACTTGTTTCCTGGCAACCTGCATCAAGATGCTGGTTTAGCTGTAGTTTGTGAGCTCTAGGGGTCCTGGTAGTTTGAACTATTGTTGTTGAGGAAAACAAAGCAAAATGTAGTATCTCGCGAGTAGAGCTAACTRGCTGCTTGTTGTGAAGAATTTGCTGTTTGGATATATTTCTACARAACCAGGTGAGGAAAATGACCTAAAGTTGCCCTTTTTTTCCCTGCAGAAGACACAAATATAATAATTACATGTAGAGGGATTTTTAGGGATGTCCCGATCAGATACGCAGTATCGGTATCGGTGGCAGATATGGCCATATTTTCAAAATCGGGTAGAATCAGATTTAGTCCTGTGATCGGGCCAATCCAGCTTTTGCGACAGTTTTCAGTATCATCATGCTTTACAACTGCTGTTAAGAAGTCAAGACGCACCCAAGTATTCAACCGTGTCCACAGTGTGGGAACACTTTTCAATGGAAAACAATGATGCTGATACTGCATCTTGCAAAATCTTCAAACTGGATGTTACTCGTGGTGGGAACAGCAGGGCTCGCTTTAATACTACCAACCTTGTCACTTGGAAAGAAATAAAAAAATAAAGCTATTGTATCGTATCGGATCGGTATCGGAAAGACTAATCATTAAAAAAATCGGACTGTATCGAGAGCCAAAAACTCTGGATTGGGACATCCCTAGTGTTTTTTGGGAGGGGTTATTTGAACAATATGTCAATACTCAACTATAAGGTTTGACAGATGYTTTTGAAGAAAACAACTTACAAATGAGGAAATTACACAACTAATAACACTAAAGGATGTTGGCATCTCCCAAACCATCCAGTTGGATGTTAGCAACATTTCAGATTCATGACAATAACTTCTTCAACACAGACTCATCCATGGGTTCAGATCAAACTGGGTTTAAATAATCACAGAAACACATCTTGACATCACGAGAAATGTCTTGTTTACCAGTTCTTGTGTGTTGTTTGAACAGGTCCAGAAGGCCTCAGGTGTTAAATTTTGGACAGCAGAGAGAATTAGTGGTTAGCACTGTTGCCTCAACAGGAACATCTTGGGTTCAAGCCCAAGCTGGACTTGGAATCTGTTTGTGTATGTTTGCATGGGTTTTCGCTTTGCCTCACTGCAGTTCAAAAGTACGTTAGACTGACTTCATCCCCAGGCAGAAAGAGATCTGTGATTTCAGTACGATTCCACATTTCTTCACTCTGCTGTTGTCTTTAGTCTCTGTTCTCTACATGTTTATTGTAAATATTTCTATCATGTTTTTTCTTTGTCTCTTCCAGAAGAAGGTGCACCTGGACCAGTCCCGGACCAGTTCTTCTGTGTTTGTCTGTGTCTCTTTCCTGTCCCTCAACCAGCCGGTCGAGGCAGGTAGCCACCTGTCCTGAGCCTGGTTCTGCTGGAGGTTTCTTCCTGATTAGCAGGGAGTTTTTCCTCTCCAGGTTTGCTCAGGATGGGAGACTGTGATGAAGTGATTCAACGCAATCTGCTGGTTTCTTCTTTAGATTATTCTTTTTATGTACAGCGCCCTGAGACAACATATGTTGTGACTTGGTGCTATATAAATAAACTTGAATGAATAATAAGAATTTATCTAGTTGAATAACAGTAAAAAATATAATAAAATAATTAAAGAGATCAGACTGGTTGGTCAAGATGATATCACACCTCAGTCTTATGCAGTTTTAKTCTCTACTGGAAATGGCACATTTTCTGGGTGCTGGTTACTTTGTTCCTTTGCCAGTTGTGTACTGTAGCAGTTTTGGTCACTTTGTACCCAGACTAGATACAAAAATCAGCTCCTGCCACAGAACTCTAGCCAATGAGACAAATAAATCCATATTACAATAATCCACCCATCTGGATAAAATTAGGTTGAGGGCTATGATCACAGGATAAAACAATGCTTTTAAGAATAATTAAGAATTAAGAGGAAATAGTTGAGGACCTAAAGTTATAGCAAACAGATTACTTTAATGTTGGAAAAGAGTTTTTGGTTATAAATTTAGGGCTAAGATTATAGAGTAAAGGAATATAAACAAATTAGCAATGGTATAGACATGGGTACAAAATGGCAATGCCTTATTATGATGTGATGCACAGCTACATAAACTGAAACCTCTGTCTCCATTTGATCTGAACCAGTCCTCTTTATAAAATGTAAGGATTTATAAAAACATCCAGTTTTCAGTCTGATAAATGTTAAGTTTTTGTTGTCTAGTACTAAAACTTCACTAGTCCAGTTATCGTGTGGCTCATCCCATCATGCTGCCTCTAACAACACATTATCTCTGTGTGTTTACTCAGAGGCTGGACCACTTAGCGCTGCAGTGTGAGACCCATATGGTGAGCCTTCTCACAGCTCTTGAGAACATCCACGACCCCTTGAGCACGCAAACTCAAATCACCGCCGACCACCCGAACATGGTGTGTGTGTGCTGGCAGAGCAGCAGCCGGTTGGTGGGGTCAATTTATAATAAAATATCCTACAGTACTGATGAAGAGACCCATCAAACCCCCCAAAAACAAAAAAAAAAAGAGATTTTGAGACATGAACACACACTAGGCCACCATTCAGTCTCTCTCACAACCATCTGTCACTAATGTATCACTTTCTGCTCTTTTGGCTTTGGTTGAGCTGCTGGCAATGGATTTTTAAAAAATGCGGTTCAGCTGTGTGTTTTATTCAGTTTTATCCAGAATGTCTAATGAAATTAATCAAGGTAAACTGTGAGACTGGTTTAGAAGAGTAAAAAAAAGACCAAATGGTAAAAACTATATTGCAGTTTTTTCATGTTTCATTTACACCACATTCCAATCCCTCCCAGATGTTTCTTCTCCTTGAACAAAGCAGCTGTGTTACTTCAGTCCAGCTTGTTGCAGGACCGTTTTAAAGTGTCAAACAGAGACACAAAGCAAGGTGTTATCTACACAGAACTGTTTTATTTTATTTTTTTAAATAAAAGTTGAAAGCGTATAACTTACCTCGGCGTTACAGAGAGCCACAGCCAGCAGAAGGAGCGGAGCGACACTTCGCAACATCTGGAAACAAAAAGAGAAAGTGAGCTTTTAGTGAAAGGACGGAAAACAGGAGGACGTCGTGTCTTGTTTAAAAAAAATAGATTTTTATTTTTGTACCGTTTTGTTAAAGTGGTTCCTTTGAGGGGAAAAGGGRGGCTGCTTGTCGGGATGTGTGCGCCGGATAGAGTGGAGCTGAAGGTCCGTGGTTTGGAGAAATTTGAGGAGAGCTGAGGAATTCCCGAGTCCGTCTGCCTCCCCTCCTCCTCTTCCTCCTCMTCCTCCTCCTCCTCTCAGCGCCTCGGCCAATGAGAATGCCTGGACTCCTCAGAGGAGAAACACAGGAGGGGGAGCTGCTCAGTCCATTCTCTAAGTCTTTTAAATATTGAGATTTTACAAAACCTCATGGTCTGACAAATGAAGCCAATGTGGGGAAAAATAATTAATGAATAAAAATATTCTATAAACAGCTAAAATCTGCTGAAAAGGATGTCCACTTGTTAGTTTATGTTTTGAACTGCCAACCTGATCAATCCTGGGTTTAACTAAAGGGATCGTTCTGATCTTTTGAAGTGGGGTTCAGTAAAAAAATATCTTACCTGCTATGAATATATTTAATGCTCTGAAATTAGTGTACACTGTTCTGGAATTATTTTTCATTCATATTTAATTTCACATTGGTGGCAAAAATATCTATTAACAACAATATTAACTTTTATTCAACAGGTCTCTTTTGCAACGTACACATTTTCTGTCTGTGGGAGGAAACCATAGTGCTCRGAGAAAACCAASCACAAGGAGARCATTCAAACTCCACACAGGAAGACCCAACCGAGGATCAAACCTGGGACCTGTTTTGCTGTGAGGCGTCAGCGTTAACTGCTAAGCCGTTGTGCTGCCATATCCAAATCAGAACAAACAAGCTTAGTTTGGCTAAAAATTCCCCAAGTCTAAAGTTTCCTCTTAAAAATTATCCATTTTCAGCTCACAGTAAACCCGCGTGTCTCTCTGAGTTTCAGCAGTTAGGTGAAAACAAGTCCAAAACGATGGAATGCTCCTTCAGGGCAGGAAAGAAGCAGCAGAGTTCAAGTCTTGTTGACAAGGGATGGGAGGGAGAAGCAGGAGATAAAGCAACAGATCGGGGCCTTGTCCACGGTAACAAGGACGTTGCTCCAGTCTGTTGTTGTGAAGAAAGTAAAGTTCTTGAAACAAGTTGCTGATACAACCTCTTYGTAGGTTGGCTCAGGGTCAGTCTCACTTGAGGAGCTGGAGAGTGTTGCTTGGGAGAGAGATGTTTGTGTTCCCTCCTGGACCTACAGCCTCTGTGTCCTGACCATGAAAAGCAGCAGAAAATAGACGGATAGAATAATAAATAAGCAATGTGGAAAAATCTAAACAGAAAGAAGCACAGAAACATATCCTAAAAAGAAATCATCACTTTGGAAACAGTTTAAAAAAATCAGCTGTTCTCATCAAAAACTTTTTTTATGTTTTTCCCTTTAAAACTGCAAAGACTGTTTCAAAGTCTGACACAATAAAACATAGCYATGAATTGCCATTGTTTTCACCTGCAACTGACAGTTACAAGCCATTTTTCTGAAGATTGATTTCTTTTAGGGATACAAGGCAGAATTGCCAAGAMCAAAATCCCTCAGGTTGCTGTTTTAGTTTTCCTTTAGTCGTAGTTCTCTCAGCCTTCCTAATATTACAGTTGAATGTACAGTACTGTATGTTTCAGCTTTTAATGAGCTGTCGCCTCACTGATCTTTGAATTCAAGCTACAACTTGTCCCTTTCAAACAGCATCCTTCAATTAGATCCCCTGCATGCTCAGAAACCATCAGTAAAAAGTATTTTTTGGGCCTAGTGCACTGAAAGATTAATGTCGAAAGGTTGAAAGAAAGTATTTTAGCGTTTCATACCGCGACTGGTGAGCGTGCATCACCAGTGAGTAATTAGAGTAATTAGGAAGGACGTCTAAGGCTCTGAACACAGCGGCACACTGAATTTTGAATATAAAGAGGAGAATAAATTATTTTTGCACTGCAAGCCATCAATTATAACATAACCTCATCCTCTCTCGGTAAATCTCATTTTTAAACGTGCTGTTGTTTTACACCCTGGGGGCTTTTTACATTTGTGACCTGTAAGCACATGGAGAGAAAAATGAGAAACTGATTTTTTGTTTCTTATTCTAATGTTAGTTTAATTTAGCTTTATTTTAGTAAGACTATGCTTGGCAGTAATTTAGAAAATGAGTCATTTTTTCTAAGAAACAAAGTTTGAGTCTGTAAAATGAACTTGCATATAAATAAGTAAACATTGCACTTTTTTTGTTTGTTTCAAACTCTGCAGGCCGATAAGATCTTGCTTGATCTCACCTGAGCGAGTGCCCAAAGGGTTTCATGGGCATAAGTCTGAAAATTTAAAATCCTTTTCCGTGGGCATGGTGTTAAAAATAAATTAGCTTTCCGTTGTGCTGGTGTCTTCTTCTCAATTCTCCTTGAGGCAAGGTGACTCRTGGCCCGAGGCCAAAAGTCCAAGACCAAACTGTCAACAATCATCTCACTCTGTGAGAAACYACAGATGTCAGTAAATGACTTGATACAATTTTCAGAAGTTTTACTTAGATTTGCTTTGAAAATAATAATCATGRACAAACTTTGCACCTTTCTTTTAATTGCTCCTCTCATAATACAAACATAAAGAAGAAGCTGTTCAATATGGGTGGGCGTATTAATCAAAGGATCGATGGTATCAATACCAAGATGAGCATCTTAACGGATCAACAAAAGTGTGATGATATTGATACTTTTGCTTACACTTTATTCATACTACTGACTTAACTTTTCATGAACAAAGTGAAAATAAAGTCAGTAGAGAGTCTCCAAGTCATTTGGAGTTCATTGTTCCCACATGCAATGGAAAGTTATTTGTATACTTTTATTACATTGTTGCACTAATAACTTTTTAAAATTGTTCAATGTTCATGACATTTCCAGTAAAAGATATCTAAATCAGCAACAGCCCTGTGTCAATAATACCACCAGTATCATGATTCTTGTGTTTTGGTTATTTTTGTTAGTATTTTTCAGATAGTTTTTCATTGTTTGCTATAGTCTTATTTTCTCATTTCCTGTTTTCAGTTTCCCGTGCCATGTTTACCTCTGTCAGCTTCTTAGTGTTTTTCCAGCCTGCCACACTCACCTGTCCTCTGTTGTAATCACCCAGGTGTTTCAAACTTCCACTCAGCCCTGTTTGTATTTAAGGATCCTCTCTTCATTACTTCAGCGTCAGACCATTGCTGACCCATGTCTGTTCTGTCCTCATGTTCATGTTCCTTCCAAATTTTGATTTATTGTTTTGTTATCTTGCCACCATGTTGACCTTTTTCTTTATTAAATTATTTTTATTACTTTAAGTTTGGTCTGCCTGCCTGCATTTTGGGTTCTCCTCACTATCAAGCTGTGACACCCAGTATTCCAGTATTGCACTCCTTCCTATTGGTAGGAGACTGAATATTTAAATTATATTAGTATTAAATGYTTTTAAACAGCTTTATGACTTCTGTGTGATCAGTTCTTTTTTTGTTTAACTTTTATGTTATTGCCATAATTGCACATATGTATCTCCGTTGATTCTCCGGTTGGTCAAATGAGATTTTTTTTCCTGTCTAATTTCCTAACAATTACAGACAGGAAGTCCTGATGCATCTCAGTAATCCAGGTAGAAAAAAATTCAAAATGAAAGAAAATAAGTAGGTCCTCTGGATGGGTTCTTCTTTAGTGAAACGTTTCATCTCTCCTCCAAGTGACTTCTTCAGTCTGATGAGTTTCAGGTGAACTCAGCCTTGTAAGCACTGCCTCCACATGTTGGACAAACAGGTTAGTCACATGCAAAAGAGGGCCATCGCCTAACAATAAGCTTGATTATCTCTATTGTTCATATGGTCATGTGGCCCATCACCTGACTTATTGATTTGGATGCTTCGGCTGTGGTTATTTGGTGTTTTGTTATCTGTATGTAGTGAGTGCAAGCGGGGTTCAACGTCCCCTAGTTTTTGTCTCTCTTTCCCTCCTTTTTTTGGGTATCGTTGGGTCCCTCCCTGATTCACACCTTTTGCTCACAGGGGGCTGAGTCATACTTGCAATGACAGCATTGTAGGAGGAAGACAACTGGACACGAAGGCCTCCACCTCAGGCAGGAAAAGTGAAACTATAGCAAAGACAAACATGTTTTTCTTGGCAGATTAAAAAAAGCTTCTGTGTGAGCTGGGTTTTACAGAAGAGGAACGGCGGGTTAGAAAAAAGCATTTCTAAAAAAATGTGTGAAAATACTAAGTTTGATTTTAGTTACAGTGGAGGTTTTGGAATTGGTCTGTGCTTGTCTCTGAGAAAATCTGAGTTTAAACAAAACCTGTGTTGTACACTTTTGCATCACTGTCAAATTACCATTATATTTATCTACATTGAATGTTGTGGTGTTATTTACAAATGCAAATATGTCATTTCACACTCCACTCTTTTTTTCACGATTTTTTATTATTTTTTTTTTTACAATATAACAGGATTTTCTTGCAAAGTGTTGGTTGAATTTGGATGCTCTACTTCACCACATCCTGTGTAGCAGTGTACATCATCTTGAAATCACTGCTCTTAAGAGTATTTTAGTTGGTTGGTCTGACATAAAAATAACTTAGATTTGATTCGGTCATCATACATGTACAAGTACAAGGCAACAAAATGCATTTTAGCATCATTAAACAACAAATGCAGAGTACATTATATATAT